GTTCATTTTCACTTCAGCAATAAATCCACTCAGTGTTTAAATAGTTTGGCAATTTGAGAAATAGGTTATGTCCCTTATTCATAGAGTTGGAATGAAATTAAGAATACTCTCTGAAGCCCAGAGCTTAACGATGCACAAAGTCCGGGCCTTGCCGCGTTTTCTGATGATTATCTTACAATAGCTCCCAGCTAAAGTTTTTTCATACAGATTTAACAACAAGATATAACATGTTTAACATGAGCGAGCATTAAAAGGCTGCTGAATGGATTTAGTTACCTTTAGAAAGAGTAGCACAGAGTACTCTCTCACTCCAACTCAAACATAAACTTACAGCTGCTAGTTATGCCACATCTGAGAACCTGTCAAAACCTTTTCAAAATGGTGAATAAGCACATTATTACAAATTGCTGAGCTTTTCACTTGAGGCAGTGTGTGAGAGAGAGGCAAAAGTGAGAGGTTACATATTTTTAAGCAAACATCCTCCTCTCCAAAGCTCTAGAGCAACATTTGTCAATTATGAAACTGGTGGGTGTGTAGGCAGCTCATCCCTGCGTACGGGGAATTAAATAAGGAATGAAGACAGTTTTCTTTGACCCATCCCCGAGCTATCAAATCTGTCTCTACCTGTCCTCAGCGATCATGCCGCTCTACGGGTAGCAGTCATAATCTTAGAGCCAGCCTAACAGTAAACCAAAACACAGGAGCATTGTTGCAAGGGAAATAATCCAGAGCAACGCCTACTGTAAATGCTGTAGCAAATACAGAGTGCCACACACCTGTAATAGCAGTTTTTCTTCTCTATAAATGACTGTTCTGGGAAACAAAATCATGGGAGAAAAATGTGCATTCCCTCACCCGTAAATTATAATACTTTGAGGACATAGGAATCTAAAATTCCTTCCACAACACAATGTAGTAATTGTTTGGCACAGGAATTAAAGCAAGAAGAAATGCTTTTGGGAAGTAGGGTTTTTTTTGTGTGTGATTTGCTTTCTTTAGACAGTACAGCTCACACAAAAACAAACATACAAATAGAAAAGCCCAAGCAAAAACCACATTGTGCAATGGTCTATCTACAATAACTATCTACAGAATTGTATTTAGAGGAAAATTGATTATTTCAGTAGTGTTGGTGGTTATTACTCTAAGTTACAGTGCAGCTATGCTGCAGGTTATCTGACTTCAATACACAAATCCAGGAAAAGCACATTCATGTGAAGCCTAATCTTTCCAATCTACTTACAGCACATTCGGATAGCCCTGAAACTAAACATAACTTCAGAGAAACAAACAACTGGAAGTTGTAGGGTATGAGTATGTTCACGCACACAGCTGTGTTTTCTGGTCGGGCTGACGTGTTAAGGCCAATTATGTAATACGGACTACATATGAATGCAATGCTAAAACAAACAAAAAAAAAAAACATTTTCAAGGCTGTAAAATGTCTGTAACTTTGACAGCAACAGATTGTGTTTTGATAGGGTCACTATAACAGGATGACGTCAGATAAGGGGACTCAAGGTCTCAAGAGTTCAACGTGTTCTGTCACAGTCTAGTTAAAAAGAAGTAGCAGCCAGAAGTTGTGGACTCTCCCCGTGTGTGTGTGTGTGTGTGTGTGTGTGTGTGCATGTTTTTAAAGGCTTGCACATTCACAGTAATCTTTACTCATTAACTTGAAACAAAAACAAACACCTTCCATGCAGACAATTTGTCAGTGCTGGTTTTGCACAGATGACAGGTGACAGGTAGCTCAGGGTTAAGCACAGCACAGGCGACAGTCCGGCTGCATCTACAAGTGAGCCCGCACACTGACTGACCCCACCCACCGAAGCTAAGTGGCAGAAACTGTTTGTTTGTCAACAGTCACGGAGGTCCTTTATAATCATTCATTGCCCTCACATGCAGTGCTGGGAAAAGGAATTTTTACCGCCTTCTGGTTTTTTGCATATATGTCCTATTTACATGTTTCAGATCATAGAACTAATTTCTGTATTAGACAAAGACAACCCGAGTACATCCAAAATGTGAAACTAAAAAATTTAGAAAGATTCGATTTATTAAACTTTGAAGTTTAAGTAATTAAAACTAGCTAAAGCACCTAGCCCCTTGTTAAATCATGGATTAACTGCTGTTAAAGAAATCTTTTGAAAAGCTGAGCTCAGTTTTTCTGGCCACGCCCAGGCCTGATTACAGACAGACTTGCTGTATCAGCAGTGTAGGTTAGTTGTCATTTACTTCAAGTGAACACCAGTGATTTCCAACACATTGTCCTGACTCGGGTTATGTAAGTGTATCATGGAAATACAGTGTTGAGGTCGGTAACTAAAAAAAGTAATGTATTACACATTACTTGTTCCTTTTCTTGAAAGTAATCCAGTAGCATTCGTAAAGTTGGGTGGATAAAGTGATTCATAACACTCTTTATGTGACTTTCTCATTACTCTGCAAAATGAACTGAAAGGCTTTGTCACATAATTACCAGTTATAAACATAAACCTTAGCTACTGTCCCACACACCACCACAAATCCCTATCTACAGGACACACATAGAACATAAAGCCAAAAACACAAAGCAAAGATGAAAGAGATTTCAAAGCGGTCACTGCCATACCGACACTCTTCTACTTTGAGCCACCGAAGTTTTGAGTGCAGCACATTAGGATCAGTTGTAACTTATGGCACAATAGCAAATATACATAGAAAAATGTGTGACTGAAACACACACCCTTAGTAATTTAATCTAACAGTATTTTATCTGACTGAATGGTACGACAATAACTAACTATGAGTAGCATGCGATTAGATGTGCATCTGACTAGTTTTTAAGTTGTTGCTATAAATACTCCATATATATATATATATATACATTGTTGTGCTCACACTCATAGTAGGTATAAAAGATGAATGCACTGCTTGGCGAATTCACGCTATGAAGCCTCAAGCCGAGCATTTTGCAGTAAAAATCCTCATATTAAAAAAACTGATGTGACAAGTGAACTGTGAACCAAGGGGACTCTGCATGCTCATTGGCTGACGACTTCTGTTTGACAAATCATTAGCCAGTTAGCATACCCTGGAAAATTACTCTAATAACAACTATAATTTAACTTCACGTACTGTTCAGTATGACCTAAAATTAGCAACTCAGCTTATAAAGCCATCACAGAGTATTTACTGAGGTGACACGTGAAGGAGGTCGGGATTATTTTCCCATAGATTTCTGCACAGCTGATTGTTTAAAACCAAGACTCACCCCCTGCTGGCCATTGAGTAGAATGCTGGTAGAATCCTACATTCATCTACTGACAGTGATCAAACCTGTTTGATTTTTCCAGTACAGATGACAACATTTTGATTTTTCTGTTATTTCAAGTAAAGAAAAGGCTACCAAACTGGCCTACTGTTGCCATTTATGCCTACATAGTCAGCTAACTCAAAACACGTAGAATTCTTTTCCAAGATAAGGTAAGATAAAGATTCCTTTATTGCCGCTGTACATAGACATTGTACACTTCAGCTGGCATTTACTCGCCAGCTGAGGTTTGACATAGCAGCAGGTTGAAGGCTGAATTGCATGTGATTGTGGATTGTGTCCCAGTGTATCAAGTAGTAGTATTAAGTCACAGAAAACAAACATAAAAAATGCAGAAATATTGGTTCTCCTAAACTGGAAGAACTTTCACCGATCGTGATGGACGCACAGACTTAATGCAACATCTTCATTTTGAGAAATGAAGAATCGGTTTGTGTGGCTCATCTGATAAATTTCAGAAAACCGGGAAACCCTTTGTAGACTGGTAAAACTTAGCTATGACTAAAACTTTCCATTATTTCTATGTATTATATATACCTGACGTTCTTAGACAACTAACTACCTCAGTAATTCATCTCTACAGATTAACTACCGTGTACATCTGCTGGTTTGTTTAAATGTCACTTTTGTTTTGATGTCTTTTGTGTTTTTTGACAATTATTGAAAAGAATTAAATAAAAAGAGGACTACTGCTCTCACCTTAACATCGTGTTTATGTACTCCACAGTGAAAATGATGGATGCTTGTTTTGCCTTTAATTGAAACAAAATGTGTTTGGCGGCTGAATTTTAAGTTACTAATAAACTGTTCTCATTAAAATATGATCATAGGAACAGAAAGTTTTATTACAGCCTTATTCAAAGAGGCTGTTTGTTTGACATTTTATGACAATCATATAAACATATGTGATCAGAATTAGACTGGAGACTAACTGATGTCACTGGAGCCTTTTCACATTTTGTTGATTTTTATCAGTACCTAAGGAACAAAACAACTCTTGAACCAGTAAGCAAAATATGAAATGGCTGTAAGGAAGTCAGATTGTCAAAGTATAACTTTTAGTTGAATTATTGTCTTATTTCCCATCGCCTAATCTTGCGTGTTTTCATGTGAATCATTTGGTTAATCTTTGCGATCAATCATTTCTCAAAGTAGAATCCACCCTAACAGATCAAAATGTAAGCAAAATATAGATTTTTGCCTTTTCTTCCTCTCTCTCTCTGAAGTGGAAACTTTGAAAGCAAAAAACTACACTTTTATTTTTTAGACTCACATTTGTTTTGTCCTTTTTTTCCGCTACCTAATAATGTTATACCATGGTGTAAACAATTTGCTGTGAGTTGTGGTTAATCTCTGTGTTACAAAATGTGCCCAAGACCTTTTTCCTGAACTGCTGATTAGGGCTGTGAAGTGAAATGAAGGGGAGGGGCTGAGCCCAGCAAGACGCCAGAAGGCAGAGCCTCATTTCAATGAAGTCACTGGAGTTGCTTGCTTTATCTCTCTGGCCTGGTGAGTGAAATCTGCTTCTGTCTTGCACAGCCAGCTGAGGATCTGATAAGAAAGCACCACGGAGTTGTTGGTTACCACAGAGGCAGCATGCGGAGGATGCTTTGGGGGATTTTGTAAGTTTTTTTAAAGGTTAGTTTTCAGATAAGAAAAAACTACTTTCTTATTTTGAAAATGCTGCCCAGGCTTCTTTCACTTGTAGGTAAGTTTCTTGCTCTGGACTGGAAATACAGGCGATAAAAAGAGTTGCTTCACTTGTCTTGAAGTGCGTTTGGACTTCATAATGAATAATCAAACCACAGGGAGGACCATGGTCCCCACCATTCCGTCCATTATGTTCATTTTCGGGGTGGTTGGAAACCTCATCGCCATCGTGGTCCTTTGTAAATCTCGGAAAGAACAGAAAGAAACTACGTTTTACACGCTGGTGTGTGGGCTGGCGATCACGGACCTGCTTGGCACGCTGCTGGCCAGTCCGGTCACCATCGCCATTTATGTGAAAGGCGAGTGGCCCGGAGAGGACCCGCTGTGCCAGTACTTTGGATTCACCATGCTTTTCTTCTCGCTGGCAGGGCTCAGCATCATATGTGCCATGTCGGTAGAGAGATACATTGCTATAAACCATGCCTATTTCTACAACGACTACGTGGACCAAAAACTGGCGGGACTGACTCTAGTAGCGATCTACATCTCAAATGCTTTTTTCTGCGCCCTGCCAATTATGGGCTTTGGGCAGGTGAAGAAACAGTACCCACAAACGTGGTGTTTTTTAGAGTGGAGGAGCAACAAGACCAGCGATGCCGCCTACTCCTACATGTATGCTGGTTTCAGCTCTCTTCTTATTCTCGCCACTGTCATCTGTAATGTGTTGGTGTGTGTGGCTTTGATCCGGATGCATCGACGCTTTGTGCGTAGGATGTCGCTTGGCACCGATGTGGGACGCAGCGTGGACCCGCGAAGAAGAGCACGCAGCTTTGGTCGTCTGGCTGGTGCAGAGATTCAGATGGTTATTCTACTCATAGGCACATCGGTAGTAGTCCTCATCTGCTCTATACCACTTGTTGTAAGTTTTTTTTAGTTTTTTTCTCAATGGTTGCATGTTACCATTACGCACGCTTTACGCATGGTTCTTTTTCACACAAAAATGTTTTTTAAGTGCAGAAAACTGTTTAGTTAGGTTAAAAAAAATGTGAAAAAGAAAAAAATATTTGTAGTGAATAAACTTTTCCTTTCACCTTTTCAGCCACAACACTTACAGTCCAGATTAATCACTCTTACTCAGCACAGCTGCTGTATGCAGGATTATGTAAAAGTGTAAAACAGTTTACATTAGAAGTGAACTGACTGTCTTCCCTTTCATGTTTATATTAGTGTCCTCTCAAACATACGCATCCATATATTTTCATTCAGTCACTATTCTCCTCTCCCCTGCAGGCTCAGGTGTTTTTAAACCAGCTTTATAAGACTCCAGTGGAGGTGCGGCTGGACAAAAACCCTGATCTACGGGCAATACGTTTTGCCTCTTTTAACCCCATCTTTGACCCCTGGATCTACATCCTGCTCCGCAAGGCTGTTCTCATCAAGCTCATTGAGAAAATCAAGTGCCTGTTCTGTAAAATGGGAGCAAGGAGGCAACAGAGACAGGGAAACTTCCCCTGTATTGATGCCTATCAGCTCTCCTCTGTGATCTCTAACTCCTTGGTGTCTAGTGACCAACGAGATAGCAACAGCACCTGTCAAACCTTCCTCTACTATAAAGATAAAACTGAGATGTGCACTGAAAAATGTCCTAGGTCAAACAAACTCTCTGCTTCACAACCACCTTCAGCAAGAAATTCACAAGCTTCTTACTCATCCCAAGAGGGCAGCGCTGAGGATCAGACCAGAGACGAGACAAATGCAATCACAGATCATCCATCATCTCCATGCCCTAAAGATCCAGCACTTCAGGTCACGCTGAACACCGAGACAGTAAAGGAGAAATGCATCTGACCCAACCAGAGAAATACTGTTTTATTTCTCTACAACAGACCTTTTGAAGAACTCAAAAATGGAAGTAACACATAAATAATAAGTAACTCTTCTATCCAGTAGAGCCCATGCAGTGGGAAAGAGATAAGTGCTGTGAGTGATATCGTCCCGTTGTTTGTTTCAGCACCCAGCAACCTCTGTGATGACTGACTGTGTGAGCAGATTTTGCCATTTTGCCTAAGAAAGATGTTATGGTAAATGGTCTGTATTTGTATAGCAAAGTGCTTTACTTAATCATCCACCCATTCACACACTGGTGATGGCAAGCTACAGTGTAGCCACAGCTGCCCTGGGGCACTGACAGAGGCGAGGCTGCCGGACACTGGCGCCACCGGGCCCTCTGACCACCACCAGTAGGCAACGGGTGAAGTGTCTTGCCCAAGGACACAACGACCGAGACTGTCGGAGCCGGGGCTCGAACCGGCAACCTTCCGATTACAAGACGAACGCCCAACTCTTGAGCCACGATCGCCCATATATATGTTTGCGTGATCGCCCTGCATAGACACATAACATTGATGAAAAAACTTATCATTCTCAATTTCATTTACTTTGTTCAACCATTGTGGAAACCTTTACTGCAAAGCTCTATTTACTGTCTCTAAACTGTGCTGACTACAAGCTTGTGGTCAGTGAAATGGTCCTGATTGTGCTTCTTGTGAGTAGTCACTATGAGTATTCACATAGTTATTGTTAGGACTTATTCACTTGGAAACTCTACTGTACAGTGCTTTTTGAAGGGCACAGTCATGTTAGCTCCATGACTAATGTAGAGTAGAGTTTATAAGGTTGTGAACACAGACGTTTTTGTTCTATAGCCCGGAAAACACACAAAGATATTGTCTCAAATTATTAAAAAAACAAAACACAGCGAGGGCACAGAGGCTCTTGTTCCACAGTAGACTGGGAAATTTCTGCATAATTTCCACAGCTACAGAAAATGTTCTAAAAATCAGTGGATAGATGCTGATTAATGAGATGCATTAAGTGGTCAGCTTGAGAAAAATCAAGTTCTAAATGAGCGATCTTGTGTAAAATATTTTTTTTGTGATATATAATTATTCTTCTCTAAGAGAAGGTCAAAATGAATAAATTCCATCTCCAAAAGGATTACTCGTCCAGAAGACATATTTATGCGCAGTTTTAAATTGTATCAGTCATGCAGTTTGATCAGTATTTACACTCACAAATTGTTGTCTTTCAACATCACTATCTATAAAGTCAGGACTCAAAATATCAAAGAACCTATTGAAAAATGTTCTGTATTAGTTAAGACTGAAGCTAAAGGTTAATTTTAGGAGTAACACTTCTCTTTGAGTGTAATGTTTAAAGTGAGATGTTCAATTTAGCAGGAAAGTTTTCGTTGTCAAAGACATGATGTTTACAGTTAACAAAATCAGGAAAAGTCCGATGATGCTCACATTTAAAAAGATGGTACCGGCACCTTTTTCCTCCTTGAAAATGACCAGATTCCACCCAATATCAGATCTAATATGAATTATCCAAGATCACAAGTCTAGAGTTAAATATTATTCTCAAGTTTCATGTGAGTATACAGCGTAATCCTCCTCTCTGTTGCGTTTATAAGGCAAATTCTCCATTTTAATATTAAAAGTTAAACCTTCTGGTATTGTAACACTATACAGACTGAACTTTTGAACTCCTGTTGGTTTGAAGTTTTTCACTCAGATTATCTTTTTGTCTGAGTTTGAACATGAACATTGTAAACATTGTACAGTGAGGGCAAAAGTTAGGGATTGACATACTAGTTGAAAACTTTTAATTTATTTTGAGTCATTAAATTATGCACTTTATGCTCAGTTGTGGTTCATATTGTATTGCAGAGTGAAATTTGTGTACATGTATATACTGTATGAGCTTTGAATTTATTTGCTGTGGTAATATGTTATATCTGTAAATATGACTTGATGTACAAGAAAAAAACTGAGTGGAAATGACTGAGAACTTCTGTCAGATAAGAAATATATATGTCTACATTTATGATGCAGTTGTAAAGGAACACTAACTGTTTCAGAGCAAACATTGCCTTTGACATGTTGTCATATTTCATTACCATAAAGCAGAACTGCTTAATACGAGCTTTCTTTCTCACAGTCACATTTTCCTTGTTTATATTTAGTGAGATCATCTCATGACCCCTATTAATTCAGACAAATGACCCTGAGAAAAGCGTGCTACCACTTTTCCAAAGTTTATAGATAAATAAATACAAATGCGATTATTGCTAGTCTACAACAATCTTACTGAATCTTGATTGTGTGAAAGACACACACACACACACACACACACACACACACACAATAAGAGGAAATCAGAGGTCTTTGCTCTGATGGAAAAAAAAAATCAGGGGTCTCTGGAAGCAGAGGTGCCCCAGAGCACTTCTCTCCTGAAACAATAAACACAATTGAAAGCTCCAGTTCACTGCAATTAAGCTTAAACAAGCATTGCAGTGGCTTAAGCAAACACCTCGACTACAAGACGGAGTGTGAGAGGATCCTCCAGACTCTGGGAACAAGACGCGTTAATTTAATTAAACTGTGAAAATCAGGATTGTACCGTAGCGGGAGATGGTGATACGTGGAACATTCATGAAGATTCTCAGTAATTTGATCATCTTTGTTCACCAGAGTCTGCAATACCCAATTAAATGTATTAATGGAAAAACAACAAGATTGATATCTACCATCTGGGTGAACAGGTGCACAAGCACAGCCTGTACAAATGTTCAGGATTGCCTCGATAACTCCAAACAGGCAAAAGTAAGTGGTGACGTCTTGATGCATTCTCAATCATCCAGATAAGTAAATCTCCAAAAGTTGATTCTGTTCATCTGGACGTTTTCAGTGGGAAAAACGTTTCGTCACTCATCCAAGTGACTTCTTCAGTCTCAGTTGACTGCAGCTTTCCCCAATCGGTCATTATGGAAATGTACTGTCTGTTTATAAGACAGAATCAACTTTTGGAGAAGTAAGTGGTGAGACCATCAGCTTTAAATTTCAGCTGTGAAAGAATATCTCGGTGATGCTCAGAGAATTTGATCTCATGTGATACACAACTTGACATGTTGCGTAAGCGGCAAAGCTGTGATGCTGCTTTATGTCAGCGGGGTCCTCTAGTGACAGTCTGCACACTGTCACCTCTGTGCTCATTGATAAACAACAGAAAGCACCGGTTGCTTGACAGTGTCCGCTGTCGCACTCGGTTAAGGAGGAAATTAAACAAGACGAGTCTGAAAATATGTCAGAGCCAAAGCGGAGCCGAAGCAGGTCTTAGTGCAGGAGCTTCATCCCTCAGGTGATGGCGAAAAGAGAAATGAAATGTAATTCAAAGGGAAAATATGATCCTCTGTGGTGTGTTTGGAGCCATTCTTTTCACATCAGTGTGACGACCATCCTTTCTCCATGTGACATCAGTGAAGCCACACAAGCTAAGTGCTAATCTCCTCTTTTGTTACAACAATTACATTTTTTAAATAAAGTTAAACATACAAATACAAATAGATTAAACAAACAAATGGTATAAAAAATTAAAATACACTATTGTAAAACAATATTTTGATGAGGTAAAAATTAACCCGACATCAAAATATGGACAATAAAATAAAAGACATACAAATTGAAACATAGACATAAAGTTACAATATAATATACAACAATTAAAATATTTTAATTTCCACATAATTTTAAATGGCTTACTAAAAAAAATACAAAAATATATTTTAACAAAGTACAGCGGTCTGCATTACCTTAGGCTATATTCCAATAACATATTGCTTTATACAATCACTTAACAAGCAAACGATCCTGGCTGGGATCTTCTTCAGAGTCCTGATTGACTGTGGGGG